ACAATTTAGAAAAAGTAGATTTGGATATTTTTTTATAATTGTTATCAGAAATTTTTGAAATGTCACTAGCTGCAATTAAATTTAACGTGTGAGCACAACAAAGCATATGTTTTGGTAGACAAAATGTACCATCGTTCTTTGAGTTTGATTCAGAAGTTAAAAATAAGTTATTGAATTCTACATTTTCTAATTCAAAATTTGAACAATCTGATGCACTATCGGAATTTGAAGTAACTGAACTGTTTTCATCAAAATTACCTAAATCGTTCATTGTTTCTTTGTGAGCAATGTTTGGAGAAGTAGAGTACACCCTAAATGCTTTTCCAAAGTTTGCAGCATTGTCCGTAACAATATGGGTTATTTTTGAATGTTCAATGTTATATATTTGTGTAATTTTTGATATAACGTCAGCAATGTTTTGGTAGTTGTGGCTTCCCTTAATACGTTTACAGCCAAGGACATATGAATGCCGAACATATGTTTTTTCATCAATGAAGTGGCAGGTCATTCCTAGAAATAAATCAAAATAACATATTCAGTAATTTAAAAAACACTAGAGAGATTGTCTCATTAGTTATTACAGAATAGGAATAAAGTCATTAAATCATTAAAACATAGTCATTTGGACTTAGGGATAGTTGGAGAAAAAAAAATATATATAAATCAATAAATAAAATTATTTTCATTGAAATTTAAAATAATACATTATTATAATAATATAAATAGATCAATATCAAAATATATTAAGAAAAGTAGTTCTGCTGGTTTATTTATATTTATAAATTATAAAACCATTGTTTATTGTTTATAAATATTATAATACAAATAAAAAATATAGTATTGTATCATACCGAGCCTAACCAATTATTATTTAATATTACGTATTACAAAAGACAAGTATTAACTAACCTATTGGCATATTATAAGTGTTTCTCTAATATTAGTATAAAATGTTGATCATTTTTTAATATAATATTTCAAGATTTAGATTTATTTTTTTAATTTTTGACATTAATAGCTAAATATTTTTTATACATTTTTGGTATTGTATTTTAATTTTTGGCGTACCTAACTATATAATAAAAAAAATTGTTTTAGCCATATTTTTAATTTTAATATTTTATATAATAAATAATTTGTTGATATTAAAATATTTATATACATTTTTAACATATTAGGTATAATAAATAACTTATAAATTGACTGATTTATATTCATTTATATTTTTACTTTTTTTACTATCTCTACATTCAAATGGCTATGTTAAAGTGTCCAAAATCAAGTCATTACCCATGTAACTTCGGTTGTTTGTACTCCATATGTCAGCCGTTGTACAAACAAAACTACTTTTTGCTATCAAATCCATCAACATAGATACGTATGATTCATATTTGTTATCTAAATGTTTTGATAGCTGTCTTCTGTTGGGTATTATTGAGTCGTTTGATCCAGTAAGTCCAGTTATTAAACGTTTAAAACTTGGTTTCTCACATGTTCTTAATGGACACATTTCGTTAACAATATAATCAAATACTAACGTCTTAACCTGAAAATAAACAAAATAACAGAAATTAATATAATTATAATTATCATTATTATCAATTACTAGAACCTGGGGAGCAAAAAACGGTACTGGTTTGTTATAGCCCCGCCACTCATGTTTGTTATAGGCCATCCATATAACAATAAATACATTGTATAAGTAAATATAAAATAATTCTACAGAAAATACGTACCATTACTTTTAGGTACCTACCTAATAATCAATAATATAATAATGATTATTGATTATTTTATATTTATAAGATGAGTTTATTGTTATAAACATTATAAAAAATTGTATACATTTTTTAATTTATCATTATTTTATAGGTTATTATTTTTCCATTTTTTAATATTAAGTATATCTATCATCAAATTATTAGATTTATATCAATAAATTAATTTTATTATTTTATATTTATACGATGTATTTATTGTTATATGGATGGCTGGGCTATAACAAATCTGAGGGGCAGGGCTCTAAAGTTTTCACTTGCCGCGGCGGGGCTATAACAAACCAGTACCAAAAAAACATTTAAAAATTACACAAATAAATTTTAAAATCACAAAACTAGCAGAGTAATTACCATTTCCTTTGTCACTGTTTTTGGACGGACATCAAACATTTTTGTTTGAACAGAATTAGAATTAGAATTATTTTTATTTCTTGTTCTGGCTATCTCAACTTTGGAGAGTAAGAATGAATGTTGACTCTATTAAAAAAAAAAAATTGAATAATTATTTTAATATTAATGGGTAGGTACGTATAGGTTACTTTGTATACCTTATAAAACAATTTCATAAGAATAAGAAATTGATGACTTATGACTACCAACAATATATCTAATATGTACCTATGATATAATTTATAAATTATAATACTTCTAAATTATAGTACCTACTGGATACCAAGGCTGGACATTAATGAACTAAAAGTTAAAATGAAGTTAAAACGTTAAGTTAATTAACTCCTTACTTTTATTTCAAATTAACTTTTAACTTAATTAGTTACTTTTTTTAAAAGATATGTTAACTTCAAGTTAATTTTATTCAAAAATATCTAAATTAAGTTAATTTTCGTCCAAAGAATAATGCAAATTTTTTAATGGGGATTTTAGAAAAGTAGGTTTTTTGATAGCTAGTTATTACTTTGATGTATCATTATAAATTTCCCCAGTAATTTTCTTGGGCGTAAAGAAAAACTAACTAATAAACATTATTAGGTATGTGTCTGGAATTTTTTATTTTGCAAATTAGAACATTTTAACTTTAAACTTAGTTAAGTTACTTTTTTTTCTAAGTCAACGTTTAACTTAACAAGTTAACATAAAAAAATATGAATAACTTTTAACTTAACTTTATTATTTTAAAACAACTTAACTTAACGAGTTAAAAAAAATTGTTCAAGCCTTGCTGGATACTACAGTATATGACTAATATAATTTATAATACACAATACGCACCTATTATAGTTAAGGTACTATGAAAACATTAATTAACTTTGTAGGAATTCTACTTGATAAAATATTTAAAAATATAGATACTCGTTTTCTAATAAAAAAAAAGTATATGGGTATTTATTTCAAATTTGAATTTGGACAAATATAATTTATTTAAAATGCTTCAATTATTAAAAGCTAGGGAACTAATTAGAATATTTTGTAAAAATACATTTTTCAAATTGTATTATCGTTAGGTACCTAGCTGTAATACATAAACAAAATAATAGTAATAATAATAATTTAGGTACCCATTAGGCAAACTAATAAATAATAATAGGATTTATAAAATTATTAATATGTACAAAAAAGAAACATTTTACTCTAAGATCTATATTATAATATGTGTACCTAGTTGTGAAAATTTGATAAAACACTATTAATTTTATTGTAGATACCTACCGTGTTATTTAAAACTTACTTTAATATGACTCAATAAATTTCCACTTGACTTGGTAGACGCACTTATATTCTTATGACAGTTCATACAAGATGCTATTAGCTTTTCGCCATCAGTCGACACTAATTTAAAAAATTCATCAAACAAATATTTAAATTTTATGTTCGTTATAGCAGACGGTGTTGCTGGTTCAGCTGGCGGATCGTTCATATTTTGAGCAGTGTCTTCTAGGCGAGCTCTCTTTACAAAACGATCCATGATTTAAATATGATAATTATTGATAAAAGTATAAAACTATTTAAACGAATAAATTAAAAAAAAAAATGAAATGAATACTGTACGGCGTACGCGGACGGTTATGAATGAAATGAAGTCATTAGTCATTACTCAATTATGATGGTATGATACTTTTTCCATAGGCAATGAATAATAATAAATGAAATATTTATAACTTGCAGTGGTTTATTAATAAAGGTTGTTGGCGAATGGTGAGTGGACTGAGTGGAGCTGGTGGTTTATTTTTATTAGTTATTGGTATTTTTAAATTATTATAATACCAATATTCCCACTTCCCTGCAGTACTATCGTCTATCCGGTTATTATTAGACCTTCGACTTGAATTATTTAATATTATTATATAAAGCTTATCTATTGTCGTCTGTCTACGATCAACGATACAATTATTATTATTAATTTCTTAAAAGTGGTGGACATTAGCGACAAATGACAATAATAATACTAGGTACCTAAATATACACGTATAATTCATTATATAATATATTATACAATTTTAAAAATAATATCGGAAAATATTATGATGTTCGTATATTTTTCAGACTACGTCTCGTAAACAATCTAGATAAATTAATATAGATGACGAAGTTTTCTATCTTAGATGACAGGTAGATACCAATTGTGTAATTTATTTAGATAAGATAAAAGATACGATTGTTTTATCTAGATAAGGTATCTAGATAAATTTATCTAACTAAATTTAGCTATTGCACAACACTGCGAAGGACACGTATACCTACCTACGATGATGGCTACTGTTATATTCATTGCAAACAGCTGACCGGGGCGATCGTATACAAATACGTGGCTCGCAATACCTACATATAATATACACCCGCACATAAAGATGCCCTCAGGAAGGTCCCGTAATTTCGTTGGCGCCATCGGACGGTGGATTGGCTGCGAGGCGTTACTTTTGGCGAATGGCGGTCGGACTATATATATAATATAGGTGTATATATAGTGTATATATATATATATATATATATATACACGTTAGGAGCGGGAAAGGGTAGTGGGCCGTGTGAGTGTGAGTGTAGGGTGGAGGGTGTCTCGGGAGCGTGGGGGTATTATTATTATTATTATTATTATTACACACCAAAGGGCTGCTCTGCCGCCGCCGGCGTCCTCGGGGCGCGACGCCGCGCCGCCCGGCAGTCAGTCACCGGCCGACCGTGTTGCGATGACGAGACCGTCGCGCCAGCGGAGAGCGCCACGCGCCGCCCGGCATTAGCGCGGACCGCCGCACGCGTCGTGCGGTCGCCATGTGGTCGCCGGCCACCGTACGCCTGTTGGTGTTCATCGGCTTTTACGTGTCGTTCTTGGCCATCGGAGCATTCGTGTTCTCTGCCATCGAGGCGCCGGAGGAAGCCGCTCGGGTCAGGGAGCTCAAGGACCTCCGGCAAGACTTTCTCGACGGGCACACGTGTGTCGGAGGTATATACGCATCTCGCAGCACTATACCTATGTATACGAGGCCCCCGAGAAGGGGGGGGGGGTGTTGTTGGGCCTGGAGTACCCGGTTGTTTTGGGGGCCCGTTGAAATGAATTTGTAATTTTTGACATTTTGTCAGGAATATTTATTTTTTATATTAATTAATAATATTTTGCGATATAAATGTATATTATTATAATATATTAAACAGAAATCGTGTATATCGCTTGTAATTTGATGTATTTTATCGGAAGTTATGTATATATGGCCTGCAAAAATAATTAGTACCAGGGCTCAAAATTTGATGTGGGGGGCTTGTATATATATGTATAAATGTTGTATTACTTTTTAATGAGGAAAATTCCAATCTGTAAATATATTTATACAATAAGTAAAAATTACGTTTGTATAATATAAGGTTAGCATAAAATAAGAAAAAATTAATTGTCTCAATTTTATAAAGACCTCGGGTCTTGGGTTCAGAAGGAGTCATTTACTGATGGTACTTCATGAAGTGGAATAGTGGGAGTTAGTCATTCAGTAGGTCAAGGCACCATGTTCGTTTTAGTCGCCTTCTGGGGCCACCTGAAATAGTGGGAACGGATAGTTCCGAGATTACTGGGTTTCGATAGTTGGTGAAGATTAGAATGAAGATGTACCTATTTAATATTAATTATTGGCAAAGTTTTGTACTGCTGGGATAAAAAAATCTCTATGGATAGTATATAATTTGAAACAGTACGGATCTTTGGTTATTTGACGAAGACTTGGTTTGCAATGTTTGGATTTTAATATAATGTTGGTAGGTTTAGCAGATTCCCATAGCTGAATACCATGAGTCCATATTGGTTTATATAGGAAAAGTTTATTTTCGCGAGATGAACGTGTTTAGTTGTACGAGAAGAAGAATTAATTGGCGGGGAGAAGGGTTGTTTAAGGTAGCGCATTTAGTATGGATAATATGGATTTCCGTGGTTTATAGTCCACGGTTTATGTGTAAACCTAGATAAGGAACGTTTTATATAAAATTTAATAGGTATACAACATACACATTTTATACATATTGCTTGTATACATACATGTAGATTGCCATGATTAAATGTATGAACTGCAGCAACCGGTTCACACGGATAGTAATAATGTTACAATTCTTTGCAGTTTTGTAAATTATATGGTCATGTGTTAGCTGTATGACATAAACTTTTATCGAGTGATGCCATTTGAGTTTTTTTTTTTTTTTTAAAGGGTGTCAAAATATAAGCACTACAATTTTTTTTCTTCGTCTGGCCACTTTTTCTTCATCGTCATAGTATGGTAAATCACACGTACTTATTTCACGTTTGTGCGGCGCATGTTCGCGGGAGTTGAAGGGTTATATATTTAATAATTTAACGAACTAAACACTTTTGAAGGTCGGGATGCTGGAAATAGAATTTGTCATGCATACCAATATAGTACATACATTATACATATACATCCATATAAATAATAAATATACATTACCTCCATACATACCATGTTATACCTATATTATATACGGACGCATTATGGTTTTCATAATATATTTTAACTTTTATGTATCGGACATCAGCGCGTTTACATATTTTACGGCACGCCGATAAGATGTGAAAAAGTACATGCCAAAGTACACCCTGCCAACCCCACCCCCAAATAGTGCCCTCTCCATTATGCGTGTAGGTAATATTATACTTTGAAACGTCCTGAAAGCGAACGTCCGACGGACCCATATTATGTACAACTTTCGGTTATTATACTTATTACAAGAGGCGTATGTCTCTATAGGGGCCGTTGAGAACTACTGTGTAGACTAATCTTTTATTTTTAACAGTTCATTTAATATATTATTATGTTTATTACGTTTATTACGTATACCTACACATTATATTCTAATTATATTCGTATTAATTGCAAATCCGTTTAAGTACCAACTGTAATTATAAATATAGGATATAATGTTCGAGTCCCTCTGGTCTAATTGGACCGTTATGTAAATCATTACTTTATCGATTGCAATAAATTATTATTGTTTACTCTGTTTTGTCAGATTTTTTGAACGGATCGTGATAAAAAAACGCGTTTATTATTCAAGATTCCGGTGTTGAAACTAAACAAAATTCGTATTGACGGATCCGAAAGAATGTTCCTATCTATTTGTATTTTATCCTACTTAATATCATAACACTCAATAATTATTGACAATGACCGTTACAAGACGTTGTATCGTTTTTAATATCATATATTGACACGATATTGGGTGTACCTACCTATAAATACACAGGTATTTTTATTTTTTATTCATCAGTGGCTATTGGTACCTAGTGGTTCATAGATATTATTATCATTTACATATAGATTACATGAAACACTATTGTCACCATAAACAATATACACATATTATTACACGATATTAACGACTCCGGTGATCAGTAAGCTAAGAGATACTAGGTATATGTATAGCACATACACATTATTATGGTATCCTATAATATATGATGTACCTACTAATGTAATATCCGCCGTAAATATATCATCGTACATAACATGTTATGTGTCTGGATTGTCAAGTCGTACGTGATAGACTACGTTATGTGGTACGTGTATACAATAATCAGCCTTCGGCAACAATTTGGACTGTTGAGAGAAAATAGTGTATTATACGGTGTTAGTGTTTGATAGGATATTGCTATAATGCGTCGGACAAATTGTTGGTTTGAAATGCACAAGCGCGATCGTACGATAGGCTTTTAATCGTTTTTTGGTATAATTTTGATAAAAAAGTAGACATCTTATGAAAGTGTATAATGGGTTTTTTTTTAAGAAGTTCTTGAAAAACCACTTGTAGGTTTTATAATATGTTCGATATTTTCCAACCTTTTGTTTATTACAATTAATTTAAGTATTAAATATTAGATGGGTATTATTATTAATAATAATAATAATAATAAGTAATTGTTTGTTCATAAATTAATGTTCTTAAGAGGACGTCGCATCCGCATGTGTTGTCTCCGTCTTACACACATACGACATAGCAAATGTTCGTCGGCTATAGTTTCAATATAGGGTATTGTCAGTTTTTATATTAGAGTGAGTTGACCTATTATCAAACTTTTAGGTAAGAACAATATCTGTGTTCTCTCTTTGTTTTTTTACGATATTTTAATTTTTAAATGAGTTATGGGTATGTAAAATTGTAAAGTATTCATATTCTAAAATGTTCATAACTCACTTAAAAATTAAAATATCGTAAAAAACCAGATAATGTTGGTATCTAAAAGTTTTATAATAGGTCGATTCACTCTAATATCAAAACTGACAATACCCTATTGAAACTAGCAAACGAAAATTTGGTATGTCGTACGTGTGTAAGACGGAGACAACACATCCGGGTGAGACGTCCTCTTAATGCTTCATTTCAACTATATTATATAATAAAATAGTAATTTTAGTTTTTAAGTTCTTCTGAAAAAAATAAGTTTGATCACGATACTCCTTAAATGGCTTTAATGGCTTAACAATTCAAGTATGGTCTTCATTATATGTTCTTTAATAATTTATTTACTTTTTAATATATTTTTTTTTTTATAATCTAATCTGTTCTTAGTGGCACTTTGGTTGTTGACCATTAAGTGTATTACAAAAGTAATTGTATTATCTAATTTGGAATATAGTAATTATAGTATTGTAGAATAGAAACTCTCGTTAGTGTAGTGTACTTTTTTTGATACTTGTAACTTGTAGGTTATTTGGTTACCATACTACACTAGTGCAGTTGCAGTTCTAACTTTATTCAACAACTTGACTGTAGAGCTATTATATATTAGTATACTACATCTTAATTAACTTAACAAAGTTAATAGCTTCAAGTTACGTATAAAATAATATCTTGATATTTTGTTACCTAACTGTGTATTATGTAATCCATATTATGCAAATCTATATCGACTATATCTGTACATCACTTCCAGTGACACCTGCTGCCTAAGGTGTCTTAAAACAAAATACAAATGCATATTTTCAAAACGTAACTGTGGCTTTTACTTTATCTCAGTAATAGTTATCTAGATTCAAAAATATTTTTTTAATAGAGATAATATTATAGTTCACCAAGTTAAGCAATACAACAAAATAATAAAACGTAATGCTCAAATCCTCCTTACAATAATAATATAAATATAAAAGGTATAATCTCTTGTCTAGAAAAATATCTTTCAATAAACTATATCGGGGTATAAGATAAAACTAAATAAATAAACATTGAATTCGTATAAGTTTTGAAAATTTATCAATACCTATTTATCATTGTGAATAACCTAGTGCTATGTTGTTAAAGTACTACCATACACAGTTAAATTTAAGTCGAAAGTATTTAAAATTTACCATAATGCAGGGATAAATATCAAATATAATACGTTTTGAGTTAAGTATCACTTTATTACGATTGACAATACTTATTTTTAATCGAAAACAGTATTTATACGTATAGGTATTTAATAATACATAATATACATATATATATAAATTGGTTTTTCTTATAGGTATCTACTGTGTATTTTAAATACTTGATCCATATAAAACGAAAAAGCATGTAATAAATTATAATAAATACATCAGAGTGCTCAAAATAAATAAATGCGTAGTGGCTGATTCGTGAATATTACGCAATTTAAAAACATTCAATTGGAACATTCAAAGATAACAATAATATTCATTAGTATATTTTGAAAGTAAAGGATAACTTTAATTAAATATAAGTAAAAAATTGTAACTGTATGCAGTGCGTTGTTAATACTTAATGATATAGATTATTCTTTCTTGTGCATAAATAGACAATGATAGTCATCAACTGATGTTTGAACGTACTTTAAAACAACAAACTATGATAACTAGGTTGACACTCTATGACATCAATTTCTAGTAATTTACAAATGCAATGAAATATTAACAAATCTATAGGTATTTATTTTATTTCTTATAAAATGTA